ACATGTAAAGAGTTCTTCAAGAGGTTTTTCTTCACTATCATATATGGTATTGATTTTAGTTTTATGCTTTGATATATGTCGCATGATTAATAATTAGGATTTGATTGAATCAAACTTAATTATCTAGAAACAACATGTAACTTGTTCATTATTGTTTGTTATTTTTAATTTAGCATTATATACATTGCCACCTCTAGGTGGTGTTGAGTCTAAACATCTGTCATTTCATACACTACAAGCGATGATGTAAAATTGCAAGCAGAAAATTCATTCACTTTTGAATATCAAAAAGGCAGAGTCTAAACTTCCTAGGAAAAACTGTCAATGATTCTCCATGAGAGTTCGGATGATGATATTCAAATTCTAAATGAACATTAAAACTGAAACTTCGACATAGAAGGTTTCGAATAAATCACTAACTGATGCTCATAATTAACAAAAACAAAAATTATTCAGTAGGGAAAATACAATGCCCTTCCTCTAAAAACTGTCCAAAAATTTCTAATAGCACAAAAATAAGAAATTGGTGATAATTTACAAATGTTAATCTGTTGTGTGCTTTAGGGCGTGTTTGATACGCATTATTAAACAGGATTGAAGTATACGATGAACAAGATTTGAACTTTTTCTTTCCTAATGCTGTCCAGTGTCCTAGCTATGTCCAATCCCACAATCAAAGTTTACACCCCTTATCTCAAGTTTTAGATCGAACTAATCCATTGACCAGATGCTTCGACCCGTATTGAATGCTGGATCCACTATGAAGAAGTTCCGGGAGTTACGAAATGGGTCATACCAAGGTAAGTGTAGTATTTTATAGTGAAGCAAGTCTATTCTGGAACTCCTTGGCAATGCTGGTCATTCCACCTATTGAATAAGCTTTTAGCATGATTCTATAAGTAATCTTATCAGGCTTGCATCCTCCTCTCTCCATCATCTCAAGCACCCCTTTCGTCTTAGCATAGCATCCCATCATCCCATAAGCATCCACTAAGCAGTTGAAAAACACAGTGTCAAGCATAACATCTGAATTATCGATGTATCGAAGAACAGCTTGAATTTTTTCGATTTTCCCAGCATTCCCTTAAGCTCTTACAAGTGAACAAAAAGTAACGTAATTAGGTTTTATCCTCTCAGACTGCATCAGCCGAAACAAAAATTCCATCTGTTTCAAATCCCCGGCCCTACCAAACGCGTCTATGACTATATTGTAAGTTACCAGTGTCCACAAGAAGTGATATTTCTGCATATATTGCATCACAGCACTCATTTTCTCATAATTTCCAGTTTTCCCATAGGAATCCAAGAGTATGTTGAATGTCTTGATGTTTGGTTCAATCCCAGCACTCTGAAATTTCTCATAGCACTTTTCCATCATATCTATCTGCCCGCTGCCACCAAAAGCTCGCGAGGTAGAGTTCATTGTCCAAGCATCGGGTTCACATTCTCGCAGCCGAAGCATTTGAACAAGAGTGGATTCCATCTCTGTGAACCTATAAGTAAAATAAGACAATAAACAAGTTCCCTCAGTTACTGTTACTACAAAATATGTCATCCAAATTCGAAGAAAACAGTATTATATTTCAAAGAACAAAGGTGACAATTTCAAAGAAACAAGTAGCGAACAGAACTCTGGGGGACTTGGGAACTACAGAAGTGAATTGTGAATCTGACGGGCGGGTGCCACTCCTCCTCCTTCCTACCCAAAACTGAAAATTTCTAAAATAGAATTTCAATGCAATTGAGTCTTTCTTTTACACTATCTTGGTACCATACAATCATTTTAACAATTCATTCATATTATTTCCACCTTTTTTCATGGCATTCACATTGAAATTAATATAGGAAAGGAGAATAACCTCTTTGCTTTTCCATAGGCATCGATGAGAGTATTGTATACGATTGTGTTGAGCTTGATTCCCTGAACTGCCATGTCAGAAAGCAAATCACGCACTCTGTCAAAGTCATAAACCTCCAGGCAAGACTTTACGAGGATTGAGTATGTGAAGACATCAGGTCGACAGTCATGACTGTTCTTCATTTGTTCAAGGATAGAAAATGCTTTGTTGAAAAGACAACTTCGACTGTAGGCAGACAAAAGAGCAGTGTATGCTTCATGGTTCACACTGCAGCCTTCGTCAATCATAGCCAGAAATAAGGAATGACCTTTCTCAGGTTGTTTACATTTTCCAAGCATGACAACTAGCTTGATATATATACCAGAGTTGGGTCTGTACCAAAGTTGCTTGCGAAGGAGCTCGAAGACCTGGAAACATAAAACACAAAGAATGAAAAGTGAGTCGCCTAATTTGTTGTTGTGAAGTCAATATTTCTTACTAACTTGTATGTTAGGATTGATACCACTTGTTGTGACGTCAATCACCGAATTTAGATGTTGAAGTTATATGACAAATAATAATGAATTATATTATCAAGCAAAATAATAAAGGAAGACAAGAATATGGCAGAGGAATTAAGAGATTGTTGGGAATAAACAGCCTATATGCGGAATCAATACAAACATAATATAGTTCTAAAAGCTCATAAACCAATGACAGTTCAATATCAACCCCAGAACCTCAACCTCAATGACAGAGTTCAAACATAATCTCAGAAATTCATCAGGTTCATAAAATCAGCATTAAACAATATGTAACCAACATATTCCAATGGCATTAACAGATAACATAATCAGCGGGATACTATCAACCATAAACCGAAATTAAAACTTAAGCACAAAACATATACTGGACAGAACAAAAGCATAAAAGGCTGAAGCTTCACTTCCCTTTTACTGTCCAGAAAAGCAGTCCTCCTTCTTCCCTGTCACCGGTTGTTCTTCTCTTCTTTTCGGCCGAACCTGGTAGGCTCAGGAACAGTCCCTTCCACGCCTTGCAATCGCCGTCCAGAGAGAGATCAAGAACCAACCAAACTTCCTTCAACCTTGGCATGGATCATTGACCGAAGGTCTACTAAGAATCGCCAAGAATCACGCCCAAGTCAGACCTAAACACCAACCCCATAGAAACACAACCCTTAGCCACTATTTCAGGCCTAAGAATACATAGGCGTTTCCTCAATTAATGGGCTAGAAAGTCGATTTCAAAGGGCCAAAGAAAACGGGAAGAAGACAGCCTCAAACCCTAGAGGCGGAGAGAACGGGAGCAAAACTCAAAGAAGGCAGAAGAAATGGGTTGAGTCTCAAGGAAGCTAACCCACGTGATATAGGTACAAAACCGGGTCAAGCAATTTGGCCCAAAGGTGTTAAAAGAGAACCCCCTAAATAAAGCCCAATAAGTCCACAACCTTCACCTTGGTTCTCGTAACACACTCACTCTCTCGGTTGCGAATTGCACATGGAATGACTGTTNTCAATTTCCAACTTCCAATGGACTTTCAAAATAGAACTTTAGCTTGATATAGGACTCCAATAATATTCCAAACTTGAATTCTTCTTAATGTTCACTACATTAGAATTCTTCAATATTTCAAACAAGGAATTCGGGTCACACCCAAATTCTAACAATCTCCACCTTGACACGAATTCCACCAAGGAATGAACTGGCTTCTTAAACAATAACCAAAAAAAATTAATTTCTCTAACCAAACACAAGATACTTCACCTCTTCCAATGAAACCAAGCACTACTCTGTAGAATTACCTCAGATTGCAAAAAATCATAGTGATTTTGAAGCTATAACACACCCCCAAAGTACAATCATTACCAATTGCTTCTAATGAAGGCTCCTTGCTAGATTGAACACCTTTTTCTTCACTTGAAGCATGCTCAACAAAATCAACATCCATATACCTTGTTCCACTGGGTCTAACTCTAGCAACTGAGTACAGTGACACTGCAGGCGATGGGGCAAAGCGGTATTGTCCATGTCTTCAAAACTCCACTGAGCTGTATTCTTCAAATCTGACCCTTTATGAGCTCCTAAAGGTATTGTACCAAACTGAATGTCCACCACGGTATTGAACCAGTGTGCTGATTGACTCTTTCAAATTCTGCACAACCCTGCAAGATGTATAACTGAGACCATTTTTGTCAATCCAATATAACCGGGCACCCTTACAAACTTCAAAGCTCCACCTTCACCAAAGAACTCATAACCTCTTGGATCGAGGATAGACAAAGATATGAGATTCTTCTTCAAATCTGGAACATGTCGAACCTGACCAAGTGTTCTAATTGTTCCATCCAAAAGCTTCAATCAGACTGTACCAATTCCAGCAACTTGACAGGTGCGATGTTTCCCATAACCACGACACCTTTGAAAACAGTTTCATATGTAGTAAACAAGTCCTTATTAGGACACATATTAAACACACATGCTGAATCTAGAATCCAATCATTATCTGATTTAGATTCAACGTCAGAAATAGCCAAGAGATCTCCATCAATGTTCTCCATGATGTTTGCTTCGCTTGAAGTATCTAAATATCTACTACAGCCATCTTTTCTTTATTCTGCAACTTGTAGCAATCCTTCTTCAAGTGCCATTTCTTCTTGTGGTAATTACAAATTTGATTACTGAATTTAGACTTCGATCTACCCCTTCCAGAACCACCATGAGCAACCAAACCTTCTCCATCTCTAGTCTCACAAACCAGATGCTTCATCTTCTCTTTTGAAAATAAAGCATCATAAACCTTCTCAATGGTGAGAGTATTACGACTATATAAAATCGTATCTCTAAATGAAGAAAGAGAAATGGGCAACGAACATAACAGGATCAAGGCCAAATCTTCCTTATCATACTTAACGTCCAATGTTTCTAAATCAGTGACGATCTCCTTAAATACAGTCAGGTGATCTTCCAATGATCCTACTTCTGTCATGCGATGAGAGTATAGCCGCTGCTTGAGATGTAATTTGCTTGTAAGATTCTTGGTCATGCATAATTGCTCCAACTTCAACCACAAAACAGCTGCTGACCTCTCCTTCAAAACGTCCTAAAGAATATAATTTGATAGAAGAAGATGAATATGAGAAACTGACCTTTTATCATTCCGTAATTTCTCTTCCGCGATTAAAGTTGCTAGCATCCTTTCAATACCCAGCAATGCATCATCCAAATCCAACTGTACTAGCACTGAACGCATCTTAACCGGCCATAGCAAGAATCTAGTACTTCGATCCAAAAGCGAAATGTCATACTTCATGGAAGCCATCACAAAAAAAAACTTCGAACAAATCAAACCCTGGGCTCTTGCGGAACTGCTGAACTTTGGCTCTGATACCATTTGTCGTGACTTCAATCACCGGATTGAAATGTTGAAATTATATAACAAATAACAATAAAGTATATGATCAAGTAAAAGAATAAAAGAAGACAAGAATATGGTAGAGGAATTAAGAGATTTTATTGCACCAAGAATAATGGAAAAGAGAGAAAATTACAATAGATCCTATAATTCTAGTGATCTATTTTCTCACATGTAATTGTTAAAAAATTGTATA